ATCTCATGCTTTCAGATCATTTATAATATATATAGTTGTAGTAATTAGCGGCTCCGGTAACAAGTCTTCCATCCATCTATCTGTTTTCTACCCTCAAAAACTTTCAGATATCAGAAAACCCAGCACAGCAGAATTCTGGAAATAGCAACAGAAATTAAACAGTAATAAAATAGAGTCAAATATGTCTGGAGCTGAGAGAGTAAGAGGTTCATGTATGGAGAATGATAGGAGATAGAGGAAGAGTGTACTGGTAATATCATAGAGTGCCTGACTTTTTACTGCTGGGTGCTGGAAATTTGTACTTAAATTTTGGTCACGTTATTAACCGTAGTCTCATTTAATATAAAATAATTTATCTAAATGTTCTCTGTCAGATACCATGATTCCTCTCTGTGATGTTGCTCAAGTAATGTCTTTGAATTTGAAAAGAAGTAGATAATGTAAACTTCAGGAAAGTTAGCACAATCTTGGATTTTGTCCTTAGGTTTCTTTTATATTTAGAAATGGCAGCTATAAACATTTCCCCCACAAGTACAGGGATGTATATATGGATGTCCTTTTCATTACTATTGAGTAGATGTCACACACTTCTGATTCACAATGGATATGAATACATCAGATTGTCACCCACTGGTTTGGGTGGTCTCAGTAGAGGTAGGGCACAAATTACTTGAGTAATTCAGGATTAACTCAGTTGCTTTCTAGCATTTTTTCTGAACTATATACTGTATACAAAAATCAGTATTTGTAAATTTGTATCTCTGTAAGGACAGAATTCTCTTTTGGAATGCCCAAGTAGCCCTCCTACCTTGGACTTCTAAAAGAGTTTTACTAATTTTGGCTACACACCTATATGTGTCCTATGTTAATTTGGGGGGAAAAAAGCAGGAAAAGGCTGTGTTGTCCTCAGATACAGATACAGGAACAGGAGATACCTTTATTAGACCATTAAAAATTAAAACAAAAGAAAAAACAAACCGCGAGCTTTCAGTGATCATTTATTTACCTCAGGCTGTGCACCAAGTTCTTGTGGGTAGTTCCAAAATTTTATGTTTTTATTAAAGTCCCAAAGTCTCATGGATGTTGGGTAATAAATTCCAAACTACTAGCTAAGGAGGCATTTGAAACCACATCCTCCCCCCATAGGCTTCATGCAGACTATCTCCATCTAAGAAGCCTAATCTGGCCCCAGCAATAGCCACGAGACTCTGGAACACCACCCTGTAAAATTGTTTTAGCTCAGCTAAAAGAAATACTCTGTATATAAACTTGATAGGCTAGCATGTGTATGGATTGTAGTGGCTACACACAATAGTGCCACATTTAGCACTGCAAATATGATTCCCACGTAGCTCCAGGAGTGAATAGACTCATGTGACCCCTTCAACAATGGCTGGGCTGCCTTAGTAGTCAAGTTATGGGGTGGCGGTGTTTCTGTCTTGCCCAAATAATGGACGTCAGCCATCTTTCTTTGTCCACACAATGCCCTGGAAGTTGTTTTAACTCAGTATCTGACACATCATGTCTTTTGTATGTTCTGGTACTGGTGATTAACAGTCTGTGTTCTCACCTGCCCACATACATGCGCAAAATACAGTTGATGTTTCAAAATTGGCCTAAGGAAAATAACACCTGATGTTTCAAACATTGACCTAAGGTAGGTCAGACCTGCCATGATCAATCACCATCACTGCCTTGTTTCAGTACACTATGGGAAGGAAGAGACAGTGGGGCTTCAAGGAACGCTTACAGATACATTTTGACTTGGCCTAGATTCTAGTTGGGTTCTGGGTCTAATCTAAAGCACATTTGGGGGCCAGGAATTTCTAATTCGGTTCCATGATGACTATAAATGTAACAATTATAAGGCAGATTTACCAAGATTGCCTTTGTTTATATAATTATTTGTACTATAGTGAATATGCTATATTATTTATGAGTGTATGTGTTGCCATAAACTCACTGTATGAAAGGAAAATAGCAGCTACAAATTTCTCGTAAGAAATATTCCTGTTGTCACTGATGTAGTCTCTTGCAATAATTACTGTACTTGTTTAATTGGGAGTATTTTTATTTCTCTTTACTTCATCTCTAATTGGAGAGAAAATATTTCATGCACAGCTTGTGCATGAGATAAAATGGATTTTGCCTTTTCCTTTTCATATTTTCTTCCACTGCTAATATTTTTCTTAAGGCTCCTGAGGGCAATAAGCACTAAGAATTGCAGTAGTAACTTTTAGCTGATATTAAAATTGCAGCTGTTGTGATTTAAGTGGTTAAATGCTTGGAATATTACAATAGTAATGTGAAGGAAGTTCAAGGAGAGATGCTGTTGTGAAGTGAAAATTGTTCTCTATTAAAAGATGTTATGATATGGGAAGTACTGAGCAGTCTACTGTAATAATTCTATTTATTTCATTTGTTTCTAACATAATATCCCACCAAAATCCTCAAGGGGATTAGATAGTATCTACAAAATAATACTGAATTATGCATTCATTTTCACAGTCTTTTAGTAATAACAAAACAAGATTTTCTTCTGACTTGGCAACAGACTAAGTAAACAACCAGCAACGTTATAATGACAGGACTGTACTGTGAAAGCTTCCTTCAAATATAGTCTCATCATCTTTCCATATACAGTATGTGTATACCATTGCTCAGTTATTGTGTTATGTGATTGTACTACAGTGAATCAGCAGTGTATATCTGGGCTGAATACTCTTACTATTTTATCAGGGCATTTGGGTTCTGCAAAAGCGTGTGTGTGTATGTGTGTCTTGCCAGATTTGGGGGCATATGTGATGAAAATTCATTCATTTCCATTGGGAGCAAATTCTGCTAATTTGAGATGAGATGTCAAAGGGTTTAGTCTTCCCTCTGTTGTTTTATGGGAGATAAAACACTTTCTTCAGTTTGAGTAACCATAGTTCTTTATTTTTTTCTGGAGAGAGGATGCCTTATGAAGAATGTTACTTGGAATCGTAACACGAGCCAGAATAATACTAGATTCACCTTCACTTCACCTTCACCTTCTCACTTTGGTCATATGAAAGTGACAGGTCTGATGAAGGGAGACCAAGCTACCCACAACGGTTCTCCATGCAAGTCAGAACCTCAGATTCTCTGCATTCTAGCTTCCTTAGAGAGCTTTCCTGACTAGCTGAATCTTCCCTCTTCAGACCTGCCACTTTCATGTGAGCAGAGGAACAATAGGGCTAGTTTGCTACCATGGACCTGTTGAATAAAAGATTTTGCTCTGCCACAGATGGACTACTGATGGCTTGTTAGCATGCAACTTTGTGACCACTTGAACTGGCAGAAAAGCTTCCATATTTGTTTAAGGAAGAAGGTGAAGGAAAAAAAATATGCTGTTGCCTCATTTTAAGGAAAAGGGAAAAATGGATTTTAAATAATGATCAAAGGTTATTGCAGTCTAAAGGAAAGGCTTTTGCTGTACTTTAGTTCTCTGAAACAAGTGGAAAAATCAGATTATTCAAAAAATTGTTTCTTCTTTATTTTAGTTGATGGCTGCATACACAGAGCAGCTGGGCCTTGTCTAGTTGCTGAATGTCGCAACTTGAGTGGCTGTGAAACAGGGCAAGCAAAAATCACTTGTGGTTATGACCTGCCTGCAAAATGTAAGTAAGCCATTTTCCTTGGGTTTTTTTTTAATCAAGCTGAAATTTAAAACATCTCTTACTCTTCAGCACACTAATTTAATGAGGAACTTATTTACCTAATTATAAGATTAAATTAAATGTGCTTTTGTGATGACCTTTGTCCTTTTGGAAAGCTGAGACATTTGGAAAAGCGAGTTTCAGTTGATTAAGGGAAACATGCATGCTTACTTTTAGAAACGTATGAAGCAATGGGATACTTTGCACGTAGGTGATGGCATTTCTGCTTATGAAGAGTCTGTTGTATGTTGAAGAAACTATGTTTTCTAGGTTAACTCCATGGTGAACAACTTTTGTAATGGTGCCGATTTCTTGACTGTGAAATGCCTTTTGAGCCAGGAACATCAAACTGATGCATTCTGTGTTTTCAGATGCTGTGTATAGTCTGATTGGCAGTTGCCATGACGGCATCTGTCAGACTTAAACGTTCAGTGGAATACTGTTCTCCTTGATGGAATGTTTTTCTTGCTTTGAAAATTGAATTGTTAAAATTCTCTTTATATGTTAATTGGGGAAAGGTTATCTTTATTGACCCTCTTGCATAACCATTTAGCCATGCTTGAAATAGTAAACACTGAGACAGCAGCACTTTGGAACCTGAAGTTGTAGTTACACACATAGTCATGGAACACGTTTTTAATCTCTAAATTGTATTGAATAAATAGGTTGAGTCTTTGTTATAGTTCTTGAGGTCAGGTTCTGCAGGAAGAGGTGCATCGGTGTTCTAGGCACTGAATATTTTTGTGCTAGTTTGCTCATCTATTATATCCTTAATCTCACTATTATATCTATGGTTGGATTCACAAATGATGTGCTTGGTGTTCCAAATTGTTTTAGGTCCTATCCTATGAACAGGTTATATACGCTTATCCGATTACAAACAAATGGTTCCCTCTTCACGCTGTGACTATACAGCAGCAGGAGGATGGAGTTCCATCCCCTGGGCTGAATTCCGGCCTGTTTGGGACCCCCCAGGGAGTTAAAACCACCCCAAAGAGGTGGTGAAACGGGGGAGAAGCCTGTTGATCACAGAGGTACAGCAGTTACCCACGTTTGATCTGGGAAACTCTCCAATAAACCAGCGAGTGGAAACAAGCAGCTGAACTGGCTTGCTTGCAAGTTGTTGGCAGCCAGGAATGGAGAAATGATAAATCAGCCTAATTAATGTGGAGATAGAAATGGCTAAACAATTATATAAAGAAAATCTGTATAAAATGCCTTAGATAACATCTATTATATTTTAGGACCTATTTAGTTATTATTGGTATAAAATACAAAGTTTGTCGGTTAAATCACCTCAAATTATATAGATTTGGAACCGGAATTACTTTTATTAGGTATGTTATTAGAGGATTTTGAGAACATTGTATACTATGAGAGCAATATTATGATAGTAGCCAATATTGTACACTAAAATACACATATGAACAGTTTAGGTGTTTAAAAAATGTATAGATTTTGAAGGGACAACTAAGAAGACACCAAGATGAAAAAATAATAATTATAAGCAACCCATGTAACATGATATTTAACAAGCATGAATTGAATGTAGATAGATTGAAAAACTAATAAAATGTTTTTTAACAAGCACAATTTGAATTTAAATAGATTGAAAAACTAATAATTTTTTAAAAAAAAGATTACAAATTACTGAAAACTGGTTCTGTGCTCCTTCTTGCAGTATCCCAGGTATTGTCTGCCTGCATCTCTCAGCAACTTTCAAAGTTTAGTGAATTGTATTTATTACTAGAATATTAATTCAGATTGCTTTAGCAGTACTTAGGGGATGGAAGCCGTCATTTCTCAAACCTGAGCAGGGAGAAAACATTGCGTAGCCTCTCCATAGTTTTCTTTTCTCTTTTACATTATTGAACCCTGCCATTTGTTCCTTCCATTTTTATTTTTATTTTTAGAGTACCACTTTCTGAGAATCAGAGCAGTAAACCCAGTCTCTAGTCCCTGTTAGGGCAGACCCACTGAATCAGTAGCATTCATATGAGCATTGCTTTTTCCTCAGAAGGATGGGCGGCAGATTCACAAGAGAAAGTTATTCTGTCTGTTTGATGGGGTTTTTTTACCCTACTCTTGAGCAGAAAAGATCTCAAGAACAGTTTACAAATACAGTAATGAGAAGCAATAAGAGAGTCCCTGGCCTCAGAGTTATAAGTTGAAACACACAACATGAAAGAAAAGGGGAATGGAATTGGGGAGGAGAAAAGCAAATTCAAGCACTAGTTCTTAAATACTAATTAATGAGGCGACTGGCTGGAATTGGGAAATAAAATCAGAAAAAAAGCTGGCCTCTCAGTTGAGTAATGTTGTTTTCGAACATACCTTCTTTGTTTCATAGGCAGCATGTATGTAGTGTAACTAAATAAAGATGGAAGAACAGTCATAGATTTCAGAATATCTAATCTAGTCTTAAAGGAATGGGGGGGGGTAAGGTTCTGGTGATATCCTGGATGAGAGACAATGGGGAGCCTGTGTATGATACACTGACATTTTAAAAGGGAGACTGGAATGTAGATATAGGAGGAATGGACAGATTAGTCTCTTTCTGGTCTTATACCAGTTTTGACTCTGATTCTTTTTCAGATTCAGTCCATAATTAAAAGAAAGGACAGTTTTGTTATTTTTTTTTAACATGTCCATTTCACAAAATATGCATTTTTGCTCACATTTCTTTCTAAAATATGAATTTCATATGCTGTTTTGGTACCTTTATAAAGCCAAAAGTTGTAGTGGAGATTTGGGAGAAAAGTGAAGATCAAAGGATAACTTGATTCTGGTGCACAGTCGCCTAAATGTGAACTTAAAAATACAGGTCCAAGTGAAATTTTTGAGCATCTCTGCTAGTATGTATGTATGCATGTATGTATGTATGTATGTATGTATGTATGTATGTATGTATGTATGTATGTATTTAGTATTATTATTATTATTATTATTAGTAGTAGTAGTAGTAGTAGTAGTAGCAGTAGCAGTAGTAGTAGAAGTAGAAGTAGAAGTAGAAGTAGTAGATTTATTTATATAAAATATTTATTTGTTTAATAACATTATGAGAGCTTTGAACATTGTACCATCTATCTATCTATCTATCTATCTATCTATCTATCTATCTATCTATCTATCTATCTATCTATCTATCTATCTATCTATCTTGTACCATCTATCTATCTATCTATCTATCTATCTATCTATCTATCTATCTATCTATCTATCTATCTATCTATCTATCTATCTATCTATCTATCTATCTATCTATCTATCACTTTGAATTTTGAAATACATCTCAAGGTCACTTGCTGATGCAGAAAGACACATCCAGTCCTGTGTATGGTAGTCTTGTTGAATTCCTTAAAAAAACTGATTTCTGTTGAAAGATGTCTATATAATGGATTGTAAATATGATGCTTATGTTCCTCCTGTTAAATTATTGTGATATTTTGTACAATATTTTAGTGGCAAATGTTCATTGTATTTTGTGATTGTGTCTGATGCAGTAGAAATGCTAAAATACGAAGGCAGGGAATATTAAGGTCATAGTAACATTTTTCAGATGGTTCAGGGACACACCAGGAATTTGACAATGACATCAATTTACTCTCTAGAAATTTATTAATGTACTCACTGTTTTTTAGGAAATACTAGATGGGTATAGATTCATTTTTCTGATTGATTGACTGTAACAATGCAGATAATCTGAAGTGATAATGTACATGTGCTTGGAAGGGGATTCCTGCTGTGATATAAGTACTTAGCTGCTACATTGGCATTATCCTCTAGTGAGAATAATCAGCTTGTTTAATTACTGTTATCTTCAGAGATTTGAGAGCACACTGTTGCGTATGTATAATAATCTGTCTTTATTTAAGAAATTATATTTGAGGGCATTAGCCAAAGGTGAGATCACTTAATTCTACAGTATTTATTTATTCTATATCACTTACGGACAGATAATTACATTAATTGCTTGGATTAATGTTAATTGCTGCACATCCATTACAAACTGGACAATAAGAAATGTTGACACAGTTATATATTTATTTTAATGCAATACCAATACAACATTTTTTTCAACCATCATGGACTGAGTTGTACTACAGAGGCTTCTACTGTTCAGTGGATAAGTACCAGAGTAGACATTATGCTCAGTAAGTACTGCAATCTGCAGTGGAAGCCTCTTGTGTTGGCAGTGGGACTTTTCAGACCTTTCTCCTTGAATAGTTTGTCTCAGAAAAAAAGTTCCCAAACTGATTTTCCATCTACTGTACCATAGTTGTTTCACGTAGTTTTTAAAAATTTGCACAATGCTGATCATCATATGTAGTTGGGTCTCATGGTACTACGTCTGCAAATTTGGAAGCCCGCTGTTGAAATTGCCCTTCTGGCATTCAATTTGCAGATTGCCTTACGCAAATGAATGTTTCTCAGTGTCAACTTTGTATCGACATATTGGGTCCATCTACCAACAAGATGTTGTAAATGTCACTCAGATAATGTATGGGAAGCACTTTAAATGTTTATTAGTATTTCTATCAAATCATCACCGTTCAGTTATGTTCCACATTGGGTTGATACTTTCCCCATAAAAGTCAGCTTAGATTTCAGAAAAGTTGCATTTGCAACTATAAACACATATGGCTGTCTTACTGAGACTGCTCACTAAAGGACAGGGTTGAGTGGTTAGATAAGGCTGTGTGAATCACAAGGATATAGTTTTAAAAACAAACTGAAATGTCTTACTATCCCTCATCATTTCCCTTTGAAACAACACAGAATTATTTGTGCCAGTAAAACGTAATTTCTTTTCCACTACCTTTAGAGGGTACTCTTTGTAAATATTCATTGAGCATATTGATGAAAACCTAATGCAGTTGCATATGTCTGTATGCACATGCTATTTTCTTATAATTGTTAAAGCAGCCACAGGAGCAAGACCAATCCAGGTTTGCAAGTGC